AGAGAGAGAGAGAGAGAGAGAGAGAGAGAGAGAGAGAGAGAGAGAGAGAGAGAGAGAGAGAGAGAGAGAGAGAACACGCGCGGTACACTTATATACCTTTTCATTTAGTCAAGTAATCGGGCCCACCACTGCAGTTGCTGGGCAGCCCCGGAGTGGAATTGGACTGCTCATATCCAGTTTAATGGGACCTGAATATCACTAGGCGTGTTCCATAGGCAGTGGGAGCCCCTTAGCGGGCTTAGGAGAGTTTGGGCAAGCCAGTTCTGCATCTGCTGAGTCACTTCAACACAGGTTGAAACCCAGCAACCCAGCAATCTGGTCACCTGGCAACCTAGATATGTTTGCTCTTCTGTTCGGCAACCAATAGGGCTCTTCTGGGGCCAAGGCTGGGACAATTCCCGGGCGCAGTGGTCAGGTTCCAGACCTGGCGCGACTAACAGCTGTCTGGCGGGATCACGAGCATTCACTGACGCACGGCGTGCAGTACAGCAGGAGCTCAGTCCTCGTCCGGCTCCTCCGTTCGTTGCGCTAGTGTCGTTCGTCCTCATTCTTGCCCATCCCACATGCGAATGCGAAACTCGTACTGCGGGATGATCCTCTCCCCCGCGCGAGAGGAGTACCATTGCCATTGCCTCCGCGGGGCGCGTGGGGTCGCCGCGGACTTGCGCAGCGGAGAATGGTCGGAGCGTCGGGGAGTCGGGGATAAAGCGAGGCCGAGATCTTGGCGGGAGGGAAAGAGGGAGGGGGGTCATATCTGGTGTTCCTCCTCTTTCTTCTGAATGTGATCCTGTTTTCACCCTACTTGTGTTGCGCGGCACTCTCACAGTTTTCGTGCTCCTCGACGGTGGTGGATGGGAATTCCCATGTCACGTGGGAGCAGCGAATTTACATGTCACGTGGGGTGCCGCATGTAGCGCGATTCTGCAGTCGCCATCAGATGCAGATCAATACGCAGCTGCATTGAATGTGAACCCGGAGTGATCCTGAGAGAAGCGACAACCCTCTCTCTGAGTGTGTGTGAGAGACTGGGTGGGCGGGCGTGCGTGTGTGTGGTTGGGTGGGCGGGCGGGTGTGTCTGTGTGGGGTGGGGGCCGGGTTTTTGAAAAGAGGAATTGCGGGAAAAGGGGATCAGCAAGTGAAAGAGATTACGTCAACAAAATGTCGACGGGGACGGTCAACGTGATCCATGAGAGGGTAAGTCTTCTCCGTTTATTTTCTACACCTTCCCGTTTTCTTTCTGCCTGCCTCTTTCTCTCTTTCTCTCTCTCTCTCTCTCTTTTTCTTTCTTTCTCTCTCTCTCTCTCTCTCTCTCTCTCTCTTTCTCTCTCTCTCTCTCTTTCTCTCTCTCTCTCTCTTTCTCTCTTTCTCTCTCTCTCTCTGTGTTTTCTCCTCGCTCCTTTCTTCTACGTTTCTGTATTTTTATCGGCTCAGCTGCTCTGCCCATGTATGTAGGCCGATCTCGACCGTCCATTTGTTCCCTGCAGGATGGAAGGCGTTCCACATCCAGCTTAAGCATCCTTTCGTCATTTATCTCCCCCCCCTTCCCCCCCCCCCCTCCCCCCTCTCCACCACCACCGCTATCCCCTTCTTCATTCATTTCGCTTTCTCTCTGCCTCTCTCTTTGTGTTTTAAGTTTTAACTCATCTTCCTCCTCCTTCTGTCCTCTTGTCCCCCCCATCACCGACATCCTCTTCTTCGTTCATTCTCCCTTCTCTTTGCCTCTCTCTCTCTCTACACTCGTCTTCCCCCCCCCCCGGCACTCTCCTCCCGCTTCACCAACCCTCCCCACCTCCTCCTCTGTACTTTCTATGGGAGCCGTATTCGCTCTATCCACTTCTTCCCTTCACTTTCCCCACCCGTGCCTTCTTCCATTGTCTTCTTTGCTTGATCCTTCTTCCTCCAGTTTGTATCTTGGTATTTCTGAAGTGACCACTACTCCTGTTATCTTCAATTCCAATTGTCGTTTCCTCACATCCTGTCATGCTGTACCTATCCTCTCGATATGCTCATCTTTTCCCTTGTATTCCTTGCTAGTACCTTCGGTTCACTGTCATCCTTTCCAAATGCAGAAAACGTTTTCCAAATGGAGAAAATGCGGGAGGAGAGAGAGGTAGGGATAACTCTTTCCCTTCCGTTCTTCGCTCCACTTGTTAGTGCAAGAGTCATCACGGTCACGGTCAGTGTGATCTGAGTTGTGCAGAACAAGTAGAAACAACAACAAAGCTCCGTCCGTCACGATTGGAAGAAAGATGCCCGGACAAGTAGAAACATCGCGCGGCAAATCTATCCACCGTTCCCCCCTCCCATCCCTCCCCCTTTTCCCCTTTCCCCCTTCCCACCTTCCCCCTCTCCCCGCCGCGCTTTGCCGCCTCCGCAACAATTGGAGTCGTTCGACGCTGACCTTCGTGGGATCAACCCCCTCGGCCCGACGGGCATTAGCCTTTGATTGGGCCCGGATCCCGAACGTGAGGATGAAATGGGGGGGGGGAGCTTGATTGGGCGCCCGGATCCCAACCCTTGTAATTCCAAACCTGAACCGCGAATCCGGATGCGGGAACCCTCCCTTCAAAGTCCGCCCCGTCTGCCGTCTTCCCCCGAACATAACGCACCCTAAAAATGAATGTGTATATGAGTTATATTTCCGGCCAGATACTGCCAAAAAATGAGGGTGCGTTGTGTTGGGGGGAAGGCGGTAGTATGACGGATCCCGATCCTGAGCGGCGACCCTCGACCCAGCAGAACCTCAATTCTCCGAACCGGATCCCTGAACCCACCTCCTCTGAAATTGACCACCTAACCCGAAATTCAGACCAGATACAGGCTCTCCCGAGCCTACCTGCGAACCTCACTCCTGAGCCGGAATCCCAACCTGATATTGGCAAAGTGCAGGGCCTCCGATCGCATCTGCTTTGTCCGGATCCCGGCGTCACTATCTGTCCTTCTTGCATGCGCCTTACCTTCTCTCACCTACCTCCTCTGTCATCTCAATCTCCCGCGATAACCTTGACGCGACCTACCGGTCGTTCCCTAACCTTTTCTCCGAACCTACCGGTCGTTCCCTAATCTCTTTTCCGAACCTACCGGTCGTTCCCTAACCTTTTTCCCGAACCTACCGGTCGTTCCCTAGCCTCTTTTCCGAACCTACCGGTCGTTCCCTAACCTCTTTTCCGAACCTACCGGTCGTTCCCTAGCCTCTTTTCCGAACCTACCGGTCGTTCCCTAACTTCTTTCCCGCTCCTCTTTCGTTCGCTGACCTAATTTTTGAACCTCGGTTCTTGAACATTCTTCCGCTAGACCTCTTTCGCCTAATCTCATTCTCGAATCTCACTCCCGTACTTGATTTCCAAGCCTCCCCGTTGCAGTAGAAGATTTTTCAACCATCTTTCTTGACGTTGCATCCTTAACACCACGTCTCTCTCTCTCTCTCTCTCTCTTTCTCTCTTTACAGGCATCGTAATGATGCTGGACGGTCTAGAAACTGGAGGAGCAGGGACGCGGTAAAGGAGATCGATAAGGCTCCGACAAAGAACGACGACGAGAAGAAGAGGAGGAGGAGGAAGGTTAAGCTGGATGAGGGGGGGGCGAGGGGTAGTCAAAGGAG